CCTCCTCCTCCACACACGCCCTCCCCGCCTCGTGCACACGTACGTCGTGATGATAACGCGTAGAGCTCGCGCACCCTCCCACGCGACCGTGTTTCATCATCAGCTGAGCTCTTTCTCCTCCACTCACAGCTCTCGCCACCTCCCTTTCCGGGCCCCCTCCCCTGTCTCCTCTTTTTGCTTCGATTTTTTTTTTTTAATCTTTTTTTCTATCCGTCGCTCCTCCTCTTCTCTCTCCCTGGGTCCTGGCCACATGTAAGAGGCTAGACTAGGACGCTGCAGCTCTGAAAGAGAGAGGGAGGGAAAAAAAAACGAGGGGAAAAAACGCTCTGCTGCTATTTCTACAGGCGGGCCCTCCCCTTTAGCTAGTCTGTGCCAAAAGAGGGAGGGATGTTTCTGTACTCCCAGTCCCAGGATTTTAACCCTCTGCCTGCTCTCACTTCTCTCTGCATGATCTGTTCTTCACTACCGTGCAACAAGTGGCTCTGCTTTGCAACCTCTTCAGCGCCGTTCTGGAGATATTTTTTTTTTGAAAAGCAGTGTTTCCACCTCCGCTGGTTTCAAATTTTTARAAATTTTTCCCTTTTTTTTGGCGTGAATTCGATTTGAAAGAATCAGGTTTGCCTTCTTTTTTTTTTTTCCCCACACCGATGCGATGCCTCTCGAGCACGTGTTTCTTGGTTTGCTTCCCATTTTTTCTGGCAAGTCCTCCCCGAAGCAGAGGACGGGGAGGGGGGGCGGGTGGCCATGTGTTTTCAGGACCAGCTGCTCAGGGAAAACTGAGCGCCTATCTCGACTTCGACAGATCGTTTCTCTTAGATTCTTTTTTTTTTCTTTCTTTTTTTTAAAACTCACTCCCTTCTTTCTTTGCTTTGCCTTCCACCTTCCATCTGTGGAAACCTGTCCCCTCTTTCGGGTTCTCCGCCCCACCCTCTTTTCCCCTCGCGCTCCCTCTGCCTCTCGTGGGCAGTCTCGAGTGAAAGGGGAGCAGGAGGGTGGAGCAGCGACGGGGCTTTTTCTAGGACAGGTGCCAATTACTAACAAAAGAGACCAAAAAAAGGAACAGTTTCAAGCTACGATGAGGAAAAATGGTTTCAGAGCTAATCTTTCATGATAACATGCATGTATCTATTCTTTTTTTATTTTTTATGATTGCATGAGAGCAGCAGCAGAGATCCAGAACTCCGCTTCTCCCTCTTCTCTCTTTTGGCTCTTTTTTTTTTTCCTCCCGTGAAGGCATTCGAGTTTTTGAGCGGGGATAAGAGGAGGGGCAGGTGGAGCTGGAAAGGGGGCCGAGGGAGGAGGAGGAGGAGCCATGCCTCATCTCCTCCCTGCCGCGTCCTCTCCATTATTCATACGCCCGGGCCCGAGCTGCGATCTGACTGGCTGCCTGGCGTAGCATTCATCCAACATTCGGCTGCTCTGTTTGCTAACATTCCTCATTCAAAGCCTTGTTAACTGCCAGTCGGGAGGAGCACGCGACTCCATAGGAAACCCACATGGCCTCCCCATTGTGGCGGGCCCTGACAGCCTCAGAGTCGGAGCGGGAGGACAGGAAAGATGAGCTGGTTTGTGAGGATTAGGGCACAGTTAGCCGAGGTTAGAGAGGGGTGCGATTCGAAGCGTGGTGGCTTGATTCTCAGGGTAAATCTCCAAAGAGAGGCCAAAAAAAAAAATCCCAGGCACTGAGGCAGACCAGACTGATACTTTGTGGGACACTGAATGGGTCTCTCGTTGGCGTACCCGCCTACTCCTTGCAACGAGTGCAGAGCTGTGTGACTGCAGCCGAGCTCTGCCCCTCTCCACAGGAAGGATATGTGGGCATACAGCAGCTCCCAATGTGCCCGGCACAGAAAAACGACGGAGATTTGGGAGCTTTACCCCGGATAGATGTCTGCTCCAGAGTGGGTAAGAGACTGTGAGTGGGTGTGGAGTTCAGCTTGTGTGTGTGGGACGGATCGAATCTTGTTTAAACACCAATTCTAGTCGTTAGCGGACGTTTTATTAAGCGGACGGTTGGAGAGGTATCGAAAATCCTGACGAAACGCAGYGTTTGGACAAACTGTTCCGATCACTTCTTCTCTGTCTGGAGCGTTCCTCTCCCGGATCAGTCTTTTGTGTGTTTGAAAGAGAAGCCATTCTGGAGGGAGCAGAAGACCAGTGCTGTAATGTTGGGCTTAGGGCCAGGTGAGGCCTGCTGCACAGGGCCGAGCTCCCCCGCGAGTCCCTCTCCACGCTCCCCCGTCAGGAAACTCACATCTGCAACTCTCAAGTTGAGATTCATCCTCAAACCCTCCGTCTCCGTTAACATCTGCCTGGTTTGTTCTCCTGAATAGGAGGTTAGACGTTGGAGAAATGGCTCGGCGCTGACACGTGGCTCCACGTAGGTTTAATAAAGCCAGGACAGGCCTATTGGACTCCCAACCTTTTTTAAAGCGTTTTTTTACGTTCTCGTCACGAAAAAAGCAAAAGCTTTTCCGTTAATTCGAACTTTGATAAAGCGAACGAAACGCAGCCGAACGCAAAGCCGAAATCCGGTCGTTCTTTTTATAAAAGAGTCAAAAACAGTGGAATATCAGCTTTAATTTACTCTGGATTAAGTGAAATTATCTGTAGTTATTCAACAGAGCAGCGCCACACCCCCACCCCACCCCTTCACATCAATGCCTTTTATGACGTGTTTTTTAATTGCAGCCCATAAATCAGGTTCTCCATCGATCACCGCTTCGTGTTCGACCGTCGACGAGGTCGAGAAATCTGCAAATCGGTGTCGACCACGACCAAACGGTAGGAGTGGAGGCAGCGTGAGTCATCACTGATAACTCCAGTCATCCCACCTACATCCTACGTTCGATGGGCCTATTCATCTGTCACTCTCACACTCTGCAGGGCTACTTCATCACTGTCACCCCCACGAGAACCCCACACACACATTTACTGGGTCCAAAACCCTYCYCAGAGCCCCTCGCTCGAGTTRAATCAGCGTTTGAAAAGGGTGGACGCCATTGTTGGTCCACCAGTGAAAGGTGTAACCGAATTAATCACTGTTTTGTCCTGTTTTTAATCATTATTTAGACTTGGACACATTTCTCGCACACCGACTGTTGGACGTTGCCGTATTTGATAAAAATATTGGCAGGTTTGTAAAGGGTATTTCATCTCGACACGATGATGGTAACAAATCGGACTGTGGTAAAGTTTTTGTTTATCTTCAGCAGCGCAGACGGATTTAAAGAGATCTTGTAGAGAAATAACATTAATGTGGTTTTGATCTACAGKGTGGGTTAATAAACGCTTCATCTTCACAGAACGTCATCCAAAAACGAGGGGGGAAAAAGATGTGGAAAGACAAAGAACATCACATTGCAGCAGACACACAGGACTTTGTTTCACACACACACACACACAAGATACGCGCACACACCGAGGCGAACACCCAGACACATTTGATGCTATGTACCCCACAATGAACCCAGGCTCCTGAGATGAATGGGGTTCCCACGCCTCTCCCAAGAAGAGCAGGGCACAGCCTCCTCCTTTCAGCATTCACACACACACACACACACACACACACACACACACACACACACACACA